ATCATATTTTGTTTGATCATAAAACTTTTTGTCCATTTACGATTCCTTTCCAATATGATGAACAGTCTTTCAAGTAAACATCTTTTGGTTATGCTATGATCATGCAATGCACACAAAAGAAATGAGAAAAAAATAAAATAGTTAGTACCAACTAATAAAAAAATCTATCTATCAAGGTATAAATCTTAACCTCATGCTTTCTAGTTCCATGCTTTGTTTGGAAAATTTAACCTAACCGCATGATTTCTAATTTGTATGCATTTATTCAGGGAGAAAAAATAATAATAAATTAAAAGCTAGAGCTTATTTCTCCTTTGTGTACACCTATGAACAAAGGTTCAATACTGTCTTAGGTTAGGTGAATTTCTAGGGTTTATTATATGCAGAGTTTCTGTTCTAGGAGTAAAGGTACTCGAATTGTCCATGTTAGTGCCCCCTTAGGCTGCTAACCCTCAATCCTAGTCCATTACAGACTTAAACGGATCGAGTTCAATTCGAGGGAATACATTTCTCTATACCTGACACGGAGAATAAATTCTCACGAAGACATAGAGCATATGAACCCCGAAAGTTAATTGCTAGGTCTGACACGGAGAATAAATTCTCACGAAGACGTCGCTTTCACTCCCACTTAAAAGGGACAACTCAATTATAGAGCTTTATGTTATGCAATGCAAGTGTTGTGTGTGAGGAGAAATGTTCATACCTTTGACAGAAAAATAAATAATGAAATAAAATACTTGCAAATAAAATAATACATATAAATATTATAAGAATACATAAATAAAAAATTTGAAAAGAAAGAAAAAATTAAATATATGAATTTTTAATTTTTAATTAATAGAGACAATTTATAATTGATTTTTAAAAGTTTGACTGAGTCCCCAGCGGAGTCGCCAAGCTGTCGTAACCGGTTTTCGTCCGGGCACGAAATATTATAATTTTGGCGGGGAAATTGATGTGAATAAATGGTTTTGAAAATAATTTGGGAGTCGCCATCGGCCTTTTGGGTCAGGTAGGTCGAATACCTAAAAATTATCTTTTAAAAAAAAGTTTTTAAGAAAACATTATTTAAAAGATGAACTGATCTGCGTTTTATAACCAAAAATTCGTTCTTTTTAATAATAAAAAGGGATTCGTGGTCGGTTACGTTTAGGGAAGGATTAGCACCCCTACAACGCCCAAAATTGGTACTTTATTAACTATAAATTGTCTCTATTATTAGAAAAAAAAAATCAAATATATTTAATTTATAATCCTTTTATTTCAAATATATTAATATATATATAAATAAGAAATTTATTTATTTAGACATATCAGAAAAGAGCTTCTAGGTGCTTTAAGACAGTTCTTTTCTTTGATATAAATAAATAACTAAAAAAAATTATTTTAATATAGTAAGATATTTATTTATTTAAAATATTAGAAAAAGGCTTCTAGTTGTTTTAAGACAACCCTTTCCTTCAATATTTAAAAAATAAATAAATATCTAAAATATAAATTAAACATTTCTAGTTCATAAATAGGATTTTTATTTCATAAATAAATAAATAAATATTATTATTTATATATATTTATATGACTAAGATAATAATAAAATAATAATTAAAGTAATCATTCAAACATATTGGATTTGAAATGATAACAATACAAATTAAATTGTAATTAAATAGGGACTAAAATATATTAAAATAAATAAAAATATTAAAAATTAAAATTTACAGCCCTTATTTATAGTATTATAAAAATATAATTACTAATGATGTAATTAATCCTAATTATTAATAAGTGATTAAAATAATAATCATTAAAAATAAAGGTTCCAACTCGAATGATAAAAAGATCTAAGTGCTAATAATATAATTTAGCCTTATTTAATTAATTCAGATTAAAATGATATTTACTAAACTGTAAAGGACTAAATTAGGTATTTACCCTAAATAAATATATATGCAGGTAAGGACTAAAATAAAATAAAATTAAATTAAAGAACCGAATTAAAAAGATTATAGATTGATTTAGTGACTAAATTGAAAGGTATACAAATTTGGAGCACTACGGACGGGGTTTACCCTTTATGAAATTACGGAAATACCCCTCCCCCTTAAACGACGTCGTATGGAAGAGGGTTTATAAACCCTAAACCGGCTGGCCCTTCGGGCCAACCATTCATTTCTTCATTTCTTTTCTTCTCTCTAACACAGAGAAGAAGATTTCTCTCTGGCTTCTCTCTAAAATTAGAGAGAAGCCGGCCCGGACAGCCACCGCTGTCGGGCTCCGATTGCTGCCGCCGGCCACCGTTAGCGGTGGCCGGAAATTACAAAACCCACCCCAAATCAAAGCCCCTGTTTTTCTATATCTAGATCTAAGGTTATTTTAGCTTAAAACCTTACCAATCGTCGTAGATCTAGGATATTCCTCTTCGACGTTTCGGTTCTCTGATGATTTGTGGAGGCTCTCACGACGGCGATTTTCTCGGTAAGTTTCTTTTTCTCTTCTTTTGGTTTGTATTGCCTGGGATCGTTGGTGTAGTTCTTGCTTTGTTGGTTGCTGTGTTCTCTTTCTCTGTTTTTTTCTGTTTTTTTTTTCTTGTCGTTCTCTGCCGTCTGTGGCTGTGTTCTTCTCTTCTTGCAGGTGGGGTGGCTTTTATAGCCACCACCGAGGCTCTCGTTGGACCGGTTCCAGAGATGAAAGGCCCGGTGAGTCACCATAGCTATGGTGGTGACTCACCATAGGGCTCAACGTGGTTAGCTTCGTGACGTTCTGGAGTGTCGACAATGGCGGTGGAGGCGTCGGCAGTGGGGCATTGGACCACCTGGCAGTGAGGCGGCGGCTGGGATTCTTGAAGCATCAGAGGCGGCTGGGATTCTGGAAGCATCAGAGGCGGCTGGGGGTGGCTAGGGTTTAGAAACCCTAGCTGAAACCTTACTAATCGTTTAGGGTTTCTGGTTATCTGGACCGGTTCTGGTTGGTTTGTAACTGGGCCGGTCCAGTTGTAATTATTTATTAAATAATAATATATAATATTAATAATAATAATAATAAATAATGATAATAATAATAATAATAATAATAATAATAATAATACTAATAATAATAATAATAATTTTAATAATAATAATAATAAATATAAATGAAAAAAATGATGTCTACATATATATAATAACATATTTATTTATTTAGAAATATCAGAAAATGGCTTCTAGGTGCTTTAAGACAACTCTTTCTTTTGATATTAAAAAAATAAATAAATAATAATAAAAAATTATTTTAATATAGTAAGATATTTATTTATTTAAAAATATTAGAAAAGGGTTTCTAGTTGCTTTAAGACAACTCTTTCCTTCAATATTGATAAATAAATAAATATTAAAATATGTAATAATTTTTCCTAAAAATAATTTAAATAAAACTAAATTATAATTTTTATAATATTTAATTATTTAAAATACCAAAATAGGACATTCAGTTGTATTAAGACTGCCCTTTTCTTTGATATTGAAAATAAATAAAGATTATTATTTAAAAATATATATATATTTATGTGACTAATATGAAAATAATAATAAAATAATATAAAAGTAATAACAAAATAATAAATAAATAATGATTAAAATAAATTAAAAAGCAATAATATTAATTTGAAAAATATAAAAAAATCAGGGTCAAAAATTCAAAAAAAAAAACAAAATATTGGTGACTAAAAAGTAAAATATCAAAATTAAAGGGCATATTTTGAATTATAAAAATATAATTACTAATAGTGTAATTTAAACTAATTAATTAATAGGTGATTAAGATAAATATTAATTAAACTATGAGGGACTAAAATGGGTATTTACCCTAATATACATATAAAATACAGGTAAGGACTAAAACATAATAAAATAAAATTCGAAGACTGAATTAAAACGTTCAGAAGTTAGTTTCAGTGACTAAAATGAATAATTACAAAACTCGGATGGTGGAGGAAAAGGTTTACCCATCAGCGAAATTACAGAAACACCCTCCCCAAAACGGCGTCGTTTGGGAGAGGATATACTGGCTGGCCCTACGGGCCATTGTTCTCATTTCTTCATTTCCTCTTCTCTCTCAAAAATGAGAGAACCAGAGTTCTCTCTGGCTTCTCTCTAAAATGAGAGAACACGGTCCCGGTCAGCCACCGCTGTCGGCCACCGTTAACGGTGGCTGGAAAATTCTAAAATATACCAAAATGAGGCCCTAAATACCCTAAAGCCAAAACCGAGGCTCGTTTAGCCTAAAAATCTTTAACCCGACCTAGATCTAAGCTTGTTACCTTCGGTATTTTGGTTTTTTAACAGCGTAGGGAGGCCTCGATGACAATAATCTCCTCGGTAAGTCTCTCTCTCTTTCTCTTACTTTCTGTATTTGGCTGCTGTGGGTGGTTGTTGTCTGTTCGTGTTTGTCGTTGTTGTGGTCTCTTGTTCTCCGTTGCTCTTTGTCTGTATGTTGGTTGCCCGTCTGTTGGTTTTTTTTCTTGCAGGAGATGGTGCCTTTAATAGCCACCACCAGTGATGGCTTCAGATCGGTCCCAATGAGGTTGCTTAGGTGAGTCACCATAGCTATGGTGGTGACTCACCATAGAGCTCGACATGTGGAGAGGCAGCTGGCCTTCTGGAGGCTTCGGCGACGGACATGTGTCTTTCTGGAACCAACGGCGTCGGTTGGGACGTGACCCTAGGGTTATGATAACCTAGGGTTTCTTTCTGGAGGGTTCTGGACCGTTAGATCATAGCCAGATCCAACGGCTAATAGCTGATGGCGGCTGCTGGAATGAGGCATAAACTCTAATTTAATTTAGGGTTTCCTTTAGGCTTCTGGATCTGGGCCACCAAGTTTGGATCACTGTTGGGCCTCCAATATTTGTAAAACGGGCCTGTAATATTTATTAAATAATAATAATAATATATGTATATATAATATTAATAATTTTAATAATTTTAATAATAATAATAATAAAGAAAATAAAAAAATTAGTTATTACAACTGTCACTTTCTTTGTGGCCAAATCTATACTGAATGATGTCACTCCTGCGTATCACTGACCTTGATAGAGTTTCATGCTTTGAATAACTAATGAATGTAGCCTTTTTTCTATATGTTGGAAGCTTACCTTCCATTTTTTAGATGTGTTTTCTTACTTTCCCTTCACATCCTTTGCAATGGATTGAAACCCTCAAAACCACCACCTGCTAGCATGAATCAACAAAATTTAAGTGCCCCTTTTTCCCCTTTTCGGAGCCATTGAACCGGAAAAGAAGAGAGAGTGAACACTAACCTGGTGACGAGACCGGGCCGATGAAGACGATTTTAGAGCGGGGGACTCATCGGAGCTTACACTGTTTGTCTTTACCGGTGGTGATATGCGGTCGGAGTCCAATAACCAATCGATAAAAGGTGTGTCGCCTAGAAGATATGTGGAGGAACCAGGACTCCTTAGATCATAGATATCAGCCGAACTTTTTCGACGTACATCGCTCGGCTTCACAGAGCTCTTTCTACTCTTTTCATGGTGAGGCAGCCCTGGAATAGTGGGCAATTCTGATGAACAAGGTGCATAAGGCTTAGAACGTTGTCGGTCGACTGGCCGCTGGCCACGGCGGACCATGGAACGGTGGTCCAGGCTAGAGCAGATGGCTGTTGAAGCTTGAGAAGAGCAGAAAAAATCCGTTCTTTTCATTGTTTGGAGAAGATTCAAGTTTTTAAGGCAAACTGAAACTAATAGAGAGAAGGCCAATTAATCTTCTTTTAAAGTAGGTGGACTAGGGAGAGAGGACATGGAAGGGAAAAAAAAGCAGCAGTTAGGTCCCACTTGAAAGGTGTTGTTTAATCATACACTGGAAAAATATGTAATCAAATTCTGGACCTTCAAAGTTGTGATTAACTTTTGACAATATTTTAATGAATTCAAACATGATTAGTACCACTACTAGTATCATGGGGGCTATGGAATATGGAAGTGATAAACATATATCCTTGGTTATTATTTGAGAGCATGGAACAGCTTGTGATCTTCATCTCCTGTATATGAAGATTGATTGTAATAATTATGGTTAGGATTAATAGGTTAGGTGCTTCCACTTTCTCATAACAGGGATTCATCGAAGGGTATTGAATATGTGATCGTATTTTTTTAAAATTTTAAATTCTTATACAATATAATTTTTTATTAATAATCTAATTTCACACTTAGACTTTTAATATAACTCTCTAAATTTATACATGTGACGTAAAATCTTACGTCGATCCGGTAAGTAAAACATCCTTTTATAACACAGTGAATTGAAATCCCAGTTCCATCATCAATTGCAAATTGACCACCTCATCAACTTCTGTATTATCAAAAAGCTTTCTCGTGGGGACTGGTCTAGACTTATTATATATAAATGGGCTATTCGACACCAGCATCTATAAGTAATTTGCATTATTAGCATATCATTTTAGGGTTTTGAAATGATGATGTCTCTTTTAGAAACAATTAAAGAATCTGGTTTAGCTGAAGGAGAGTGGGGATCTCAAACTTTCCATATAGCAGAACTTATCCATGGCAGATCTGTGGGTCTCCTATTTTCATATATATATATAGTCATGCGTTTAAAGATGTGAGGGTTTAATTAGTTGGCAGATTACGAGCAATTAATTAATTATATATAATATAATATATTTATACACACGAAAGAAAAGCAGAGAACTGGGCTACATGTTTCTAAGCAGTTGCCTCGAACTTATCCATATATATGTATATGTGTCTTCTTTTACAAAGCAGTTCTTTTTGTATACGTTTAAACCCTTTTCTGGGTAAAGTTTCCCTCTCAGTCAGCTCTTGTAATAATACATAATGGAAAGAATCTCCATTGTCACATGCATTTTACTTTGTTTGTAATTGAAGTATAGGATGAACCAATTATTCCTTTGAAAGTTTAAAACATTGTACTTAAAGTATTTGCACCATCAAATAAACTGGTAGAATGAAGCTCACTGAATTGGTTGAGAATTAGTTGGTTCACTTGGATTTCAACTACAAACTTGTCTGATAAAGTAACTAATTCGAGTAGCATGAGTAAATAATTTATACTTTTTTCATTAAATAATTAGAATTATGGTTCACACATGTAATTTTTGCTACTCATCTATAATTTTGTGTGTGTTAACATGTATATGTGATAGGTAAACATGTTTCTGGAAAATTTTATTTAGGGTAAACTACACAAATGATCATTTATCTTTGAGCAAGTTTTTGTTTTCTCCATTGAAGTTCTTAAAAGTAATGTAGACATCAATTTTTTCATTTAAATTTATTATTATTATTAAAATTATTATTATTAGTATTATTATAATTATTATTATTATTATTTATTATTAATATTAATATTATATATTATTATTATTTAATAAATAATTACAAAACCCGGAGCCCAATAATCAGGCCCGTTTTACACAACCAAAACCGGCCCAATCTAGTCCAGGCCTAGTAGAACCCTTTTAGGGTTTCCATCTCATCCCCAGCCGCCAGACGATCTCCACCGTTGGATCTGGCAAGATCCAACGGTCCAAAGTTTTACAACAAGAAACCCTAGGGTTATGATACCCTAGGGACCACGCGGCCGCCGCTGTCGCCACCACCTCCGTGCCGACGCCCATTGCCACGCCCCCACTGCCAAGTGACCCAACCAGCAGCTGCCAATGCCATTGCCAACGCTCCACCAATGCCACGCCCTCGCCAGAAGCCTCCAGAAGCTTTGCTGCCATGATAACAGCCGCACACGTCGCCTCTATGGTGAGTCACCATCATAGCTTTGGTGACTCACCGAGCCTTACACCCTTGTAACCGGTCCGACGAGAGCCTCATCGAGGCTATAAAGCCATCACCTGCAAGACGAAAAAAAGAGAGCAAGAAAAGAACGAAGACAGCAACCAACAGACCAGAGAAAACAACGACAAAGATACCCAGCAAGACACAACACAGTAACGACGAGAGCAACCATATCCAAAGAAAACAAAAGACAGAAGGAGAGAAACGGAGAAGAAACTCACCATCGAAGAGCTGCCGAACCACCGTGGAACCATCGTGGAATCAAAAGTTCGGAGGTAAAAAAATTAGATCTACAGGAACCTAAGGGTTTTTAGGGAAAACAAAGACTGGAATCGGTCTTAGGGCGTTTAGATCTATATTTTAGGTAAATTTGGGAATTTTCGGCCACCGGAGGCGGTGGCCGGCGGCGGAACTTGCGGCGGATCATGGTTGCCGGCCGATGGTCAGCTCTCTCTCCGGGGAGAGAGTTTAGAGAGAGCAGAGAGAGTTTTCTCTCTCAGAGAAAGAAAGAAAAGAAAGAAATGAGAAAAATGGCACATAAGGGCCGGCCGATTGGGTATTTAAAACCCTCCCCAAACGACGTCCTTTTGGGGAGGGTATTTCTGTAGTTTCATAAAGGGTAAACCCCGTCCGCAGTGCTCCAAATTTGTATACCTTTCAATTTAGTCACTAAAAGCAATTTTTGATTATTTTAATTTAGTCTTCTAATTTTATTTTATTTTAATTTAGTCCTTATTAACATATATATATATATATATATTTAGGTAAATATCAAATTTAGTCCCTTATAGTTTAGTATTTTTTATATTAATCCTGTATTAATTAATTAGGTTAAATTACACTATTAACCATTATCTTTCATAATATTTCAAATTATTATCTTTATTTTTGATACTTTATATTTAGTTTTATAATTTTAATTTCTTTTATTTTGATCATTATTTAATTACAATATTATTTTGTTATCACTTTTATATTTTAATTATGGCTTTAATTATTATTTTATTATTATCTTAGTCTTATAAATATATTTATATTAAATATTATAAAAATTATAATTTATTTAAATCATTTTTATGAAAAATTATTACATTTTTAATATTTATTTATTAATATCGAAGAAAAGAGCTGTCTTAAAGCACCTAGAAGTTCTTTTCTGATATTCTTAAATAAATAAATATCCTGTTTTTTATAAATTATATATTAATTATTTTTTTAGAAAAAATGTTTTTTTAGTTATTTATTTATTAATATCGAAGAAAAGAGCTGTCTTAAAGCACCTAGAAGCCCTTTTCTGATATTTCTAAATAAATAAATATTTTATACATATTAATATATTTTCTTTAAATTATTTGAAATAACATAATTATGAATTAAATATATTTTGAATTTTTAAATTTCTAATAATAGAGACAATTTATAATTAAAAAGTACCAATTTTGGGCGTTGTAGGGGTGCTAATCCTTCCCTAAACGTAACCGACCACAAATCGCTTTTTATTATTAAAAATAACGAATTTTTGCTTAAAACGCAGATTAGTTTATCTTTTAATTGATGTTTTCTTAAAAACTCTTTTAAAATATATTTTTAGGTATTCGACCTACCTGACCCAAAAGGCCGATGGCGACTCCCAAATTATTTTCAAAACCATTTATTCACATCACTTTTCCCGTCAAGTAAATATTTCGTGCCCGGACGAAAACCGGTTACGACAGCTTGGCGACTCCGCTGGGGAATGGTCAAACTTTTAAAATCAATTATAAATTGTCTCTATTAATTATAAATTAAAAAATTCATATATTTGATTTATAATTATTTCTTTTCAAATTTTTATATACTTATTATTTTCATAGTATTTATATATTTTCTTATTAATATTTCATTAATTGCAAGTATTTTATTATTTATTTTTCTGTCAGAGGTTTGAACATTTCTCCTCACACACAACACTTGCATAACATAAAGCTCTATAATTGAGTTTGTCCCTTTTAAGTGGAAGTGAAAGCGACGTCTTCGTGAGAATTTATTCTCTGTGTCAGACCTAGCAAGTAACTTTCGGGGTTCATATGCTCTATGTCTTCGTGAGAATTTATTCTCCGTGTCAGGCATAGAGAAATGTATCCCCTCGAATTGAACTTGATCCACTTTAGTCTGTGATGGACTAGGATTGAGGGTTAACAGCCCAAGAGGGCATCAACAGGGACAGTTCGAGTACCTTTACTCTTAGAACTAAAAACCTTCATATAATAAACCCTAGAAATTCTCCTAATCTAAGACAATACTGAAACCATTTCCATAGGTATACACAAAGGAGAAATAAGTTTTAGTTTTTAATTTATTATTTTTTCTGAATAAATGCCTGCGAACTAAAAATCATGCGGTTAGGTTAATTTTTCCTAACAAAACATGGAACTAGAAAGCATGAGGTTAAGATTTATACCTTGATAGATAGATTTTTTATTAGTTGGTACTAACTATTTTATTTTTTCTCATTTCTTTTGTTTGCATTGCATGATCATAGCATAACCAAAAAGGTGTTTACTTGAAAGATTGTTCATCATATTGGAAAGAAATCGTAAATGGACAAAAAGTTCTATGATCAAACAAAATATGATGCGGCCAAGAAAAGACATCCTGAGGAAACTCCGAGGATAGAAGAGAGCTATGCACCTAGAGATCATGTGTCCATTAAGGAGCAAGAGGAGATACGAGAAATAAGAGAGCATATGTCCAAGATGATGGATAGAATATCTGTTTTGGCCAAAAGAGAAGAGATTCCTGCACAGAAAGAGAGAAAGCTTAATGAACATAATCATGCAATCTCAAATATGCAAGGGACTTCTGATCCTAATCAATTGGAGAAGTTACAGACAATCATCATCCGTATTCACAAGTCATCTGGAGATACCAAAGAAATGATGACAATTGTAAAAGCTTCCAAAGAAGAGAAG